CACAGACAATGTCACCAATGCAAAAAAGACCACTAATGGTTCCTCAATGGTACTGTCAACACCGTCAAAAATCTCCAGATAGAGACCACACGGCACCTCACATGCTCAGGCAGTTGCTCTCAGCATTCCGACATCTATCCAACATACTCCAACCTCGAAATCTCCCTTTCATCACCAGACTGTATTCTTGCCCACCATGGCGTAAAGACACAACAATAGGCCCCTAAGCAACATTATCTGGGTGGGCCCCATATGCTGTGCACCACTTGATAAAGGTTCAGGATACGGCGACAGTTCCATAAATCGGCCAAGAAGATACAAATATGCAATTCTCAGTAGTATATGATCACACATCACACACATGTGCCTGCGCAATCGCAGTAGTTCTAATCCGCACATGATGCACGAAATATTGTACTGCCTGCAAGCGCTTACTTGCATTAAAAAAACACCACCTCGCAATCTGGGACAATTTATCAGACTCACTGGCATCTGTGAAAAACTATCTATATCATAGAGACTCCCGGGACTTCAGGGAGACTTGGGATGTTAGCACAACATGCCATCGGGCTAGCTTGAGCTTCACAGCCCCCCTCCTCACCCACATTCTCTCCATCATCTCCTAGTCACAATCTTCAGTCACTGTAGCAGCAACATCCACCTCTCCCTCTTCCAGCAGCTCTTCTTTGCTTTTTCTTTTCTGGAGTCCACTTAAGTACCTCTTTTTGCTATCCATTGTCGCCAACACATTGTACGTTATGGTTTTAATTTTCTCTTTGGGTTACCCATAATTCCAAGTCATAGTGTAAAAAATAAAATACTCAAATACATTGTTATTTTAAGATATTTATTGTGGTTTGAAACATATTATATGAGTGTATTTTTTACCAACCGTCTAAGAACTATACACAGTTATTAACATAGTAATTAAAAGTACCACAGTCCGCTTTGCTATTGGTGTCGTGTTTTAAATGGCTTGAAATCTGGCATGTGTTGCTGTATAAATACGGTCCGGTGCGGTCAGTCACTTCAGTATCAGGTGGGTTTAAGTGCAATTTTCCACACTATCACATGTGCAAAGAGACGTCTGGCTGTCTCTGCTTACCTATATTTACGCCATTGCTTGCTCAACCACTCCAGCCTTCTCAGTCCACCTGCTTTGACAGGAACAAGCCTGACTCACTGTCCTTTATGTCAAACCCAGTGTGACCCCAGGGTAACACCCAACCGCAAGAGACAGCTCTGCCCTGGCACCCGTGAGTGAGTCAAGGTGGATATGCTTATTACATATACCACAGGGTCAAGTATTTAGTTGTTGAAAACCAAACCAGTTGCTAAAAGTATAACCAAAGGTATTCTATTGTTTTTTTCTCTCGAAAGCAGTCATTTTCTCCATAGAAAGACATTCATAATACAATGTTCTTGAAGCATGTTATGTTAAATATGCTTTTGCTCTTCCAGTTTTTAAGTATAATGTTTTTTTGTATTTTTTTTAATACTTGAAACTGCAAGACCGATGTATCCTCTATTTGTTTCCAAAATTCAATTACTTGATGTCAATAAGAAGGTAAAATGAGAGACAGATTGGAACTGTATACTTTAGGCATGTTGATAGGTCTTCACAATTTTAATAATCACTTAATTCGCTGTTTTAAGAGAAGTACCCTTTAGGGTTGCTTAATTTAAGCTTTAGAAAGAGGCACTTGTTTGGCCTATTGCACACATAATGAATAAGTCCATTAAACACTCAATTGTGCCATCAGTATGGAAGATAGCCAGAGATACGACAGGAGACAAAACAAAACCAGAACTGTCGTCCTATAAGTAGTTTACCAACTATCTAAAAAATCTCAGAAAAAAAATTTGTTGCACAGTTAGTGGAATATCTAAACAATTGATCAAATTCTCTCCATCCCATGCTGTTTGGATTTAGGAAGCATCACTTAACAGAGACAGCTACTTGTTACTTCCAAGAAAATCTAAAACAACAGCTGGACAAAGGCACCTTTGTGGGTGCTGTATTCCTTGATTTGAAACGTACTTAATCAACATAATCAACCATAAACGTTGATTATGTTATAATGTTTTACTGGCCAAATTAACTCAGTTTAACTTCTCTGTAAGGGCCTTCTGCTGGATGAAATCATATCTGTCTGATAGAAAACAATTAGTTCAACAGTTCACCTTCCTCACTTGCTCTGCTGGAGTCCCATAGGTATTATTATCCGGTCCAATTCTGTCCAGCCTTTATGTCAATGATTTATCCAATATATCTAAAGCTTTAAAATGCAATTATATGCTGATGACACTGTGATATATGTTCTTGCAAAAACTAAAGGTGAAGCTGCTGCTGTTGTCTCCAGCACTGTGTTATCAATGTCTCAGTGGCACCAGAACACCTGCTTACGTTATTAACAACAGAAAAACAGTCTATATGTTTTTCTCCTGACTGCCATTAGAGGGTGATAAACCATCTTTGTTAATCAAGAGAGGAACGGGATGTGGTTGAATACTTTAAATATTTTGGAATGTTTTATGAATCTAACTTAAATTTCAAGGAGGAGGTAAAGAGAATCTCAAGTATCATTAGGTTTAATCTTTCAAATGTTAAGCATATAAAATCCTCTCTTTAGAATCAGCAAATGCTTATATGAATGCCATGATATTTAGCCATATAAACAACAGCCATATCACATGGTCTCACACTTCAGAGGCAACTCCCTAAAATACATGACAAAAAGCCTTTAAGTTATCATTATTGTAACAGTTTATGAAAGTTCAACATTTCAGACTTTGATCATTGCCAGATATGTATGAATGCGGGCCTTGTTTTTAAAGTTTTATACGGACTTTCTTCCTTCCCCAAACAGATTTCATAAGCAGAAAAAACATGAATAGAATAAACACCAGAGCTTAAACCAGAGGAGACTGTAATGTTAAGCAGCATTGGACCAAATCTGGCCAAATGATAGCATCCAAAGGTCCCCAACTATGGATATCCACAGCAGTGTTTACCAAAAATTTATTTTTTGAAAAAGACTCTGATTTGATGTATATCTTTTAATGTGGTGACATCAATAGAAGCACAGTAAACTGTTTATGGGGATCATAATAGCCACAGAATATTTTAGGAACATGTATAGACAGCCTTTTCCACCTTAAAATCCTTTTAGAATGCATCGGCTGGACCTATGCAGTTTCTTAGAGGAGGATGGAGGGTTGGACAGAAAGAAAAGCCCCTGGTGTAAAAAAAAAAAATGCATGAGTAAGGATATAAAACCTTGAGACAAGGTGACGCTCCTCTCTCAAAGCCACTGCCATCTCAGTGGTGGATATGTTGGAATTGGAGTTGGTAGACTTAGGGGGACAATGATCCTACATACAGGTGCTGGTCATAAAATTAGAATATCATGAAAAAGTAGATTGATTTCAGTAATTCCATTTAAAAAGTGAAACTTGTATATTATATTCATACATTACATACAAACTCATATATTTCAGATGTTTATTTTGTTTAATTTTGATGATTACAAATGACAACAAATGAAAATCTCAAATTCATCATATCAGAAAATTAGAATATTACTGAAGACCAATAAAAACAAAGGATTTATAGAAATGTTGGCCAACTGAAAAGTATGAACATGAAAAGTATGAGCATGTACAGCACTCAGTATTTAGTTGGGCCTCCTTTGGCCTGTATTACTGCAGCAATGCGGCGTGGCATGGAGTCGATCAGTCTGTGGCACTGCTCAGGTGTTATGATAGCCCAGGTTGCTCTAATAGTGGCTTTTAGCTCTTCTGAATTGTTGGGTCTGGTGTATTGCATCTTCTTCTTCACAATACCCCATAGATTTTCTATGGGGTTAAGGTCAGGAGAGTTTGCTGGCCAATTAAGAACAGGGATACCATGGTCCTTCAACCAGGTACTGGTAGCTTTGGCACTGTGTGCAGGTGCCAAGTCCTGTTGGAAAATGAAATCTGCATCTCCAAAAAGTTGGTCAGCTGCAGGAAGCATGAAGTGCTCTAAAACTTCCTGGTATGTGGCTGCGTTGACCCTGGACCTCAGAAAACACAATGGACCAACACCAGCAGATGACATGGCACCCCAAACCATCACTGACTGTGGAAACTTTACACTGGACTTCAAGCAACGTGGATGAAGTGCCTCTCTTCTTTTCCTCCAGACTCTGGGACCTTGATTTCCAAAGGAAATGCAAAATTTACTTTCATCAGAGAACATGACTTTGGACCACTCACCAGCAGTCCAGTCCTGTTTCTCTTTAGCCCAGGCAAGACGCTTCTGACGCTGTCTGTGGTTCAAGAGTGGCTTGACACAAGGAATGCGACAGCAGAAACCCATGTCTTTCATACGTCTGTGTGTGGTGGTTCTTGAAGCACTCACTCCAGCTGCAGTCCACTCTTTGTGAATCTCCCCCACATTTTTGAAGGGGTTTTGTTTCACAATCCTCTCCAGGGTGCGGTTATCTCTCTTGCTTGTACACTTTTTTCGACCACATCTTTTCCTTCCCTTCGCCTCTCTATTAATGTGCTTGGACACTGAGCTCTGTGAACAGCCAGCCTCTTTAGCGATGACCTTTTGTGTCTTGCCCTCCTTGTGCAAGGTGTCGATGGTCGTCTTTTGGACAACTGTCAAGTCAGCAGTCTTCCCCATGATTGTGTAGCCTATAGAACTAGACTGAAAGACCATTTAAAGGCTTTTGCAGGTGGTTTGAGTTAATTAGCTGATTAGAGTGTGGCACCAGGGGCCATCAATTTTGAACCTTTTCACAATATTCTAATTTTCTGATATGATGAATTTGAGATTTTCATTTGTTGTCATTTGTAATCATCAAAATTAAACAAAATAAACATCTGAAATATATGAGTTTGTATGTAATGTATGAATATAATATACAAGTTTCACTTTTTAAATGGAATTACTGAAATCAATCTACTTTTTCATGATATTCTAATTTTATGACCAGCACCTGTAGATGAGAGTAAGAACTCTGCGCTCAGTGTTACGTTCCTGTTCGCTTCGACTCAAAAGGCGACAGCTTCTTTCGCAGTGTTCTCTCCCTCTCTTTCAGCACCACTTCTTTAAGGACAGCACCCCGCACTCGCATACACGCACTTTTCCACCATCCACTCCTTCCTTCAGGATCAAATGTCTCGTCCTTGACGACGGATGCAAAGTTTTCTCCTTGGTTTTGCCTGCTTCAAGTAAAAGGAGGTAACTTTTTCGGGAAACGATTGGATATTTCCCAAGTGGAAAGTCGCACCTTCAATAAGCTTCGATTTTACTGTAAGTGGCCTATTTTCATGTGCAAAATGTTTGCGTTTTCTGTTTTTGTTTATTTTAATTAAGCGGGGAAATGTTGGATGCACTTCAGAGGCGATTTACAAGGAGATCGCCACCTCCAGATGCGCTGAAATTGACAAAGCGTGCAGAATTATGGCTTCTTCTTTCGAGCCTGCGTAATCTCATTAACAAAGATAGCGGATTCTTTCATATATCACAGTCTATTTCTAATGTAACATAAGAAATTATACTAAGGTTTTACGCAGGAGACTGTGCGCGCGTAGTTTCTTTATGCAAAAAATGTAAATGCCGATCTGATAGCCCCTTTATGTGTCTCAGAGGCAGGTTTTACATTAATTTGTACTAAAGATAGATTCATAAATATGTATATATTTACACCCCGTATTAAGACGACCGGAATTATTTACTTTATTTGTCTAATTACGGACCAAGCAGAAACCAAATGAATAGCGTTCAGTCGTTCTTCCGCTCCACTTTTCAAGAATAATCTATTTTGGAAAGAAAACAACCCCAATGTATGTGAAAAATTGGTTAAAATCATTCAAATATTTATTTTCACCTTTCTGAAATTAATGTTAGTTTTGGTGGATAAATAATAATCTCGGAATCAATCTCTATTGTTTATGAAAGACAAAAGAGACGTGGAGTTATTAGCTACTCCAGGTGATTCATTAGAAGTGGGCTTTGCATCTGCGACTGCTAAATGTGTTTAATTGCTCTACTCTCGTACCACAGAGCAGTGGGAAGTGGGCCGTTGAATGTAGAGCACAATGAATCAAGGACAAGAGCAGGGCTTGAAATTTCTTCTAACACGGATCACTTCAGGGCCATAAACAGCAATTCTTTCTTTGGGAAATTTTTATTCCGGCTGACTTGGCACGAGGCATATTTTCTCTAAAGAACCTGCAAATATTTGAATTAGGCCCTATATGCATTTAATAGTATATTTATATTTTTCCATTTAACAGTTATACACCAGGGAAAATATATAGATTTTCGTTAAAACGGCACAGATTTAAATAAGGTATAGATATGGAGAAAATTGCATTTTATAATCATTTATTAATTTTCTTTCCATTTTTTCCCCCACCTTAGTAGTAAATAATTTCAAATTTTATAAGTATACGCCTCTATCAGAATTAACATGCTAAACTTGTCTTTTTGATTAACTATTAACTTTTTTTTTTTTTTTTTTTTTTTACTTTTCAGGGTCTCGTCGCCTTTCCTCGTCATTCACAGAGCCTCTATGATCCCTCCTCTCTCGGCTTTTCTCCGGAGACAATTTGTGCAGGACGGATTCGCGGACTGGTGCTGAAACTAGTGCTCCGCTGGTTAGGACTTTCTATCACAGACCGTCATCATGGCCACAAACGGGACCAAAGCCTCGGACGGACACGTCTTAACCGAGACGGTGAACGACGCACCCTGCACCACGCCAAATGACAAGCCTAAAACGCTGGTGGTGAAGGTACAGAAGACGAAAAAGGATATACCCGAGAGAGAAACCTGGGGTGGAAAATTTGACTTTCTCCTCTCTTGTGTCGGATACGCAATCGGACTTGGAAATGTTTGGAGATTTCCTTACTTGTGTGGGAAAAACGGCGGAGGTAATCAGGAATTGTGTCCCTATTTTCAACAACTCCAAAACGGAATGTAAATGTTTATGTGATCAAAGGGCTGCTGAGTCTGATTCTGGGAAATTTGAAAAGAAAGTCTTAAGTTTATCCTCTCATCAACGCTGTGCGTAATTGCGCACAAGCAGAAATAAATTCTGCTTGGTTTTCTGAGCTCAGCCCGAAACCAAATACTTCCTCTACCGAATAATGATTTTAAAAAAAGGAATATAGTGAATACTAATGGCTGATGGTCTATGATTCACACTCCTGTGCTTATTTGCTTCATCCAGGGGCCTTCTTGATTCCCTACTTTTTGACGCTGGTATTTGCTGGCATGCCCCTGTTCTTTCTGGAGACGGCCCTAGGTCAATACACTTCAATTGGAGGTCTTGGTGTGTGGAAGCTGGCTCCGATGTTCAAAGGTAACATAATTATTAACTCTGTTCAATATATCTATAGATATAGATATAAATCTATCTATCTATCTATCTATCTATCTATCTATCTATAGATAGATAGATAGATAGATAGATAGATAGATAGATAGATAGATAGATAGATAGATAGATAGATAGATAGATAGATAGATAGATATACCCACACACACACACACACACACACACACACACACACACAATGGACCCTTTTATATTAATACTAATGTTGAGCTTTTTGCCAAGCTTACCTCTAAACAATTTTGACTGCACTGTTATAATACGGGAGCAGTTGAGTGTGTAAAAAATTTAACATATTCAAACACTGTAAATGTTAAGAGAAAAAGTTGAAAATTGAAAACTTTCATTATTGGAGTTAGATAGTATAAGACCATAATATTCCTGCTATGTCTGATCTATTTTTTGTTGTTTAGAGCAGAGTTAACATAGTACCTGTATTTTCTGTTGGTTGCAGGTGTGGGTCTGGCTGCAGCTGTTCTTTCTTTTTGGCTTAATATATATTACATTGTAATTATTGCCTGGGCTATTTACTATCTCTACAACTCATTCAGCAGTGTGAGTATATTCACTCTGTAAACTCACTACACCTATTCCTTCTTTGTCATTTAAAACATAGTTGTTCTTTTGAATGTATCTTTACATTGTAATTTACTTTATTAATGTGACAGGCTGCTTGCCAGAATCTCTTATGTAAGGCTGAACAACCCTTTAACAGAGTATGACTTTTATCACTTCCTTTCCTGCATAATTAGCATCTCACACAAGGTATTGATAAATGCATTCTGTAATGAAGCATTCACCTCACTGAGAAAACCATGAAATCTCAATGTCCCAAATGAGCATCACGGTCTTGGCTGCTTGGCAGCCTAAAAGAATGGGACCCAGTGAAGGGACAGCATTTTGAGCAAAAAAAAAAAAAAAAAAAGAGTTGTCTCCCTGTCTCTATGTGCGTTTTTTTCTCTTCCTGGTTTCAGGAGCTACCATGGAATACATGTGGCAATGCCTGGAACACGGATCGCTGCTACACCAACTATAGTATTGCAGACACGACAAACCTCACCAGTGCTGTTCTGGAATTCTGGGAGTAAGTTGGATCTTTAAGTCTGCCAAGTCGGAAACTTTGTGAAATGTAGTAAAAGATCATTTTCCACCAGGGTGGGTGAGAAAGGATCAGATGAAGGCAATTTGCATATGATTGACCAAAACCTCCAAAAGGGAATGAACTTCAACGCATAACAAGAAATGAAAGTTCACGAACAATAAATAGTCTGATGCAGTGGTAAAAAATAACATTTGTTTTAGATCTTAATTTAACAAAAAAATAAATAAATAAAAAATAGAAATAAAAAAGCTATTTGAAAACAGGAAAGGACTTTCATGCATACTTGTTTGCGTAACCATGTGTGAATCTTGAAGTTATTTTACTCTGGTGCGTTACAGTTGGACCACTCTGCTTTTTTTGCTACAGACGTAACATGCACCAGCTGACGGATGGTTTGGAGAAACCAGGGGAAGTTAGGATTCCACTGGCCATCACGCTCGCCATTGCATGGGTGCTTGTCTACTTCTGTATCTGGAAGGGTGTCAGCTGGACAGGCAAAGTGAGTAGATGATAAGGATGAAAAATCTGTACAGTTCTAGAAATATTGTAGTATACAGATGACAAAAGAAACTTTACTTAGTTTAAATAAAGATATCATATATATTTATTTATTTTTTTAGAAATAGTTTTCCTAATACCCTTTTTCTTATTATTGACATTCACAAAGTCATATAAAACAAAGGTCTTTAATTTTATTGTTTGATCATATTTTGGATATTTTACACAAAAAAAGCCAGATACCTCCCCCTTTTAATTGATGTAAGTTGCTTTCTTCTTGAATGATTTCAACAGATTTGACTTTGCACATGTGCAAAATGGATTTAGATAAGGTGAAAGAACTGTAATCCTGCTGTTTCTAGGGTTATTATGCTTCAGATGGAGGGCTGAGTGGGGCATTGTGCAGTTCTGTGGGAATGGTGCCACAGTAACACTAAATTGACAAGTTGAGCTATGTAGGCTTTTTTGCAACCTAATGCAACATTTAATGTTGTAATCAATGCCTTCCAGAATTTAAAGAACACTCTTACCATTTTGTATTTCACAGGTAGTCTACTTCTCTGCAACATACCCTTACTTTATGCTGTTCATCCTGTTTTGCCGTGGCGTCACTTTACCTGGAGCAATTGATGGGATTCTCTTCTACATCACACCAGACTTTCAGAAACTCAAGGAATCTGAGGTGAGCCTTTTGAGTTTTGGTATTGAGAAAAACACAGCTACATTACACAAAATACAGTAAATAAAGAATAGGAATGGGTTTAACTTTCTTTAACATGAGGTTGTCAAACTTATCTTTTTATGGAAAAGCTTTCAATCACTATGTTTTAGGGATTTTTAAAGATGCAGTGCTTTGCAAAAGTATTCCTATTGAATCTTTCTATATTTTGGTTATATTATAGTCACAATAATAATTGCATTTAAGTGGATTTGGCATAATAGACTAACACAAAGTAGAACATAGCTGTCAAGTGGAACAAATGTAATACGTGGTCCATTCCACAAATAAAATAAATAAATAACAGAGATACATGAATCTGCACTTTACTCTTTACAATAGTTAATAAGTTAATAAGCTCAGAGCACTAACTTCAGGGTTTAAAAATAATAGAACGCTCAGAGGTTTGATAGACAACCTGTGATAGAAAACCCAAACAGCATCATGGATACCAAGGATTGCTTTACTGTAGACAGGTTAGTGTTTGTCCTTAAAAATCTGAATTTTTTTGCAATTCTTTATTCTAGATTTTAAATTCAAACATGTATTTAAGTTAATTATGTTTGGCTGTCTAGGTTTAGCATCTTATCATCAAACCAAATTACTCATACAGGTAAAACACTACTTGGCAATAAAGAATTTTCTGATTCTGATGTGGGACTTAAAACTAGCATTCAAACCATGAATACACAATTTCCACAGTGGAACATAGGGGTGACAGTATTGTGATGTGGGGATAATGCTCATCAGAAGGGACAGGAAAGGTAGTCAGAGTCAATACTTTAAAGATTAATCACATGTTAAAGTAATTCTATCCCAAATTCACACCTAATTCTAGTTTGTGGCATGACTTGTTAAATCTGTTATCAAATGCTCTCTATTCAAACTGACAGAATTTTAGCTACACAGATTTTTGGCTCTGAGTTTGTAAATTCTGTAGAGACTTTACTCTAACAGAGGATAATATGGGTATGCAGGGAAATAGGTTATATTAAAGTTCATAGTCATATGGTTTATCACATATATACAGTGGTGGGTGGAGTACAAAAAAAATGTACTGATCTTACTTTAACTCTTTTTAATAAAAAAGAGTTATCATCCAAAAAATTTGTAAGAGTAAAAACGTATTTGGCTTCTAAGGTACTGAATAACTCATAAGGTCTGATTTACTATTTAAATCTATATAATAAGACAGACCAAACTGTAAAGTAAGGTATAAATTCTGGTATTTTAAAGACTATAATAAAATCTTTAAAAGAAAGAAATCATGTAATCGAAAAATAAGAAATCAACGCAAAAGAAGCAATTCTTCAATCAGTTTTATTTTATCATAAAAGTTATAAAAGCAGTTCCACCAGTGGCAATATTTGTTCCTTACTGTATAGTAGTTCTATATAATAGTAGATTCAACAGATATGAAGTAAGCTTGTGTACTAAAAAAGGAAAACTAATGTTGACATAAACATAAACTGTGTGTCTTTGTTACTCCCATTGAATGGAGTAGCCAAACATTTTACTCAAGTTAAGTGCTCCCGACCAATAAATATGCATAACCATCTTTTTCAAATTTTTATCTGTGAAAAATATAAAGATTTACTCGTTCTTAACTTTGTCTTTGCTACTTTACTCTGTCATAGACAACCTTAATTAATTATTTAACATGAGGTAATCCTATGTCTATACTGTGTGAGCAACAGTTCAGATAAAGAACGAATACATTGTAATTACAAGATTTTTTTTTTTCTTTAAACTGTTGAAAGCATTTTTTTGTTTGCTTTAATAGAAAACTTTGTTTTTCTATAATGATCTAAGTAAAAAAAAATCTCTCAACACAATAAAAAAAAAACTGCAGTCTATACGTAATGACTTTGACATATTTTCTAAACCCTTTGTGGTTTAGGTATGGCTTGATGCTGCCACACAGATCTTCTTCTCCTACGGTCTGGGATTAGGCTCTTTGATTGCTCTTGGCAGTTACAATCCCTTCAATAATAATGTCTACAGGTAGGTGACTAAATTATTCTCCCTCTCAGGTTAATTTACCTTTAAAGGTAACTGTACACTTGAAATGTTAACAAACAGTTCCAATCACACACTACATTTTTACAGAAGATCGAAAGTCTCCTTTTATTTTCTTTTATATTCATAAAACCTGTAGGCCTACTGTACAATCTTTCTCTTTTTGAAAATTTAACTTTTGGCTACACAGGACTCACAATGTTTTGTTTTTTTCCCCTGTTTGTTCAACCCTTAAGAATATATAAAATGTTCTATGCCTCACCCACCCTACTTAACCTAAAGACTAAGGAAGCAACACTGAATGATGTTAAAATCCAATATTATTTAAGTTCAGTAAAAAATTGCTTTAGCTTCCATGATTCTACAGAAAAGAAAATGGCTTTTGACTTCTCCCTTCCATTTTCCCCCAAATGCCTCACTCCAATGTGTGACAGGATGATAAGGAATTGATACAGGCATAACAATGGCTATCTTGTGCTTTTCTCTTTCCCCGTAGAGATTCTATCATTGTCTGTTGCATCAACTCCTTCACCAGTATGTTTGCCGGCTTTGTCATCTTTTCTATTGTGGGATTCATGTCTTACGTAACAAAGAGGCCAATTGCTGACGTGGCTGCCTCAGGTAATTATTGTTGAAGATTATAGAAAATGTATATCTATATAAATAGATACAGTTATGAAAAAATATTAGCCTTTTTTTATTGAAAGCAATGTTTCCCCAATAAAAAAAAGAGAAAGATAGAAAATAAAAAAATGAAATCCCTATAGAGCCATAGCCTTTAATGTATGTATGTAAAAACATTAATATGTTATCTAAGCTCTACTGAGCTATTTCTCTCATCATTATACCTTATGTGCCCGAACTGATATGTTTATTGTTGCGAGACAAAAAAATTAACAAGATAGTAATGGCAAGTATTGCAGTCTAATATTTTTTAATGACTGTCTGTATATATAGAGAATAGTACGGTAACTGTTTTTTGTTCATTGCAATAATAATTGTAGCTATGTGGCATTTTTTTTGTTGAGTTGATTTTACCTAAAATATCTTGTTTTATACAGCAGTTTTTTTGCATTGTTGAAATTCCTTAACTGTTATAAATAATAATAAACCCTTTCATTACATAATTTGAAATTGTATATGTTCATACCTTGCCTACTGTGTACTGGGGCTAAAAGTAATCTATTTTGTATCAGGACCTGGCCTGGCCTTTTTGGCGTATCCTGAAGCCGTCACCCAACTACCAATCTCTCCTCTCTGGGCAATACTGTTTTTCTCCATGCTGCTGATGCTGGGAATTGACAGCCAGGTGAAAATAATCCAGTAAACATGGTCTGCTTTTTTGGACCATGACAATACTTACTAGATTAAAATATTTTTCAGGTGTCCTAACGTATTTAAATTTTGACCTTATTTTACAAAAATGTACTTCTTTTATTAGAAAGCAATATTTTGCTAAAAGGTTTTCATCTGTATACTAAAACAAACTATTTTATTGTGACAGCAGTGTGTTAAGTAACACAGTTTTGAAATGGCTCTGCAGTTCTGCACTGTGGAAGGCTTCATCACAGCACTGGTTGATGAGTTTCCTCACATCCTCCGAAAACGTAGAGAAATCTTCATCGCTTGCGTCTGCCTTGTCTCTTACATCATTGGCCTGTCAAACATCACACAGGTAAATAAGTGGAAATATCAGGGATGATACCATGATGATACATTTGCTAAACTTGTGTATGTTTTGGGTATCTTCTAACTTTTTCTTTGTCAAGGATTTTATGATTTTTTTTAGACCAGGTAGACTTTCTCTCAGTTATTAATACAAGTTATTATGTCGGTAATATCTAAATAGTCTAATACAGAAAAAGGCATACATTTTTGTTTTCAATTTTGAACAGCAATGTCTTCATATTTCCTGCACCTGCTGCCTGTGCTCCACTGCAAACATTAGCTTGTACATAGATAAAAAGAGTAAGGAATCCCCCCCCCCCTTTCTGAGTGTTCCGTAGTGGGAGTCTAACCTCTTACCTTTGATTGCAAGATGGAAGTTCTGTCTTTTGTCTTTGCTAATGCACTCAGTAGTCTTCAGATTACAAAGTTTTCTTTAAATACTTTTGTGCTGTTTGGCAAGGGATTGGCATTTGGAGATTATGAGGGACTGCAGTGTCAAGTTGAGTAACAATGGTATCACCTAAAGGTCTGTGAATCTAAGGATGGATCTATATTTGAATAGTGTTTGGCTGTTGGTCTTGCAAGGCACAAGATATCTATAAAAACAAACAGATTGAGCAAAAGGTGGTCCATCTATTTTAGTTTTATGGGTTTCATTTCCATTTTGTGTCATACTCTGGTTGTGTTTGGGTTCTTATGTATTTCCTGTTTAACCCCTGTTGCCCCCTACTGTCAGTCTCCTTCACCTAGCTCTCTTCTAGGTTCTTCTGTCCACACCTGCTCACCTGCCTATCAGTTTATTACCCCAGTCATTTTTTTGGCATATGTACTCCTCCTCTTCAGTTACTACTTAATGGTTCCTTGCCGTTTATTTGCTCCTTAGGTGTGTTTTCGCTGGTGTCTTGTTGTTTTTGGTTTTCTGTATTTTGTTATGTTAAATTTTTGCTTCAGTTTCCACCTTTTGGATGATTAAATCTGCAAGATATTACTTCAGCGTCCAGCTCTGGATTTGGACCCTCTTCAAACTTCCACAAAACCTGACATATCAATGTGAAATCTGATTGACTATGAGCAAGATTTTCCTTTGAGACCTTGCTTGAAGATTTTTGTAACCCATCATGGTGGTAGCCAGAAGTCCCACTAACAAATGCTATTAATGTTGGACACCATTCAGCTGACTGTTGAGATCTTGAGGAATGGGACGATGTGACGGTCCTAGTCTAAGGATCCTATTTTTCTTTTCTTTTCTTGAGGAAGGGGAATATGGGATAGATCTGAACTATTTAGGGCATACACTTTCTACCCCTCCCGAGGGAGTGTAGTGCAGTAAGTTACAATAGAGATTATGATTGATTCTGGTTATAAAACAGCAAACTGGATATTAACCGCTTTGGCATCCATTTTTTAGCTGAGTTAGGTTGATTGGTCTAGATTTACTTTGCAGATGTTTAAATGGGATTGGTCTATGTGCCCTAAGCCATTTTGTGATGAGTTCTGCTGGGATACGGGGTACTGGGATCAGTTTTAAGGGATTGATCTTTATACTATTAAAAAGCTAGGTCGGCATCATCAGCTGAATGTTAAGCTTGGTATAAGTGCAGTTTGGCCTAAACCAAGCTTGCATATTGGCTCTAATCATGGCTGTGGTGTTCATTGGCAGGAGTTGAAAGCATAGTTATGTAGAGAATGGTGTACTGCTAGGTAATTTCAGGGTTTGGCCTTGGCATTTTGCTTTTGGTTCGGTTATTGTCTTCAGGCTTTGAATGAGTGACCAGGTGGGGTTTTTTTGGCCATGTTTAATGTCACCAGAGAGACGGTGTGATATTCTATCTAAAGGAATAGATCCTATCCCAAAAAATGTGGACTCATCCCTTTAGTGAGGATGTCATTAATTTGCCTAAATAAGTTGGCTTTAGTCTCTTGGTGTCATGTTTCTTTGTGGATGGATTGCCACCTCAACTACAGTAATGAAGGCATTACATTTGTTTTTTGTTGTGAAGAAAGACTTTTAAAACGAACTAACACATCTCGTATTTTACATCTGCCACCCACACCTATGGTCATGCAGGTAGTGCATGCATATTACCCGTGTCCTTCCTGGGGAGCATCCCTGCCCTCTTTGAAAGTTGAATGCCTGTTTAATTGATACGGAAACCATGGGCAGACCTGAAAAAACCACTACTGTAGGGACCGTAAATCATGTCTAAGGTGCTACAGAAAGAACTGGAGAATGGGAGGTGAACATTTAGGTTTCCCTAATGTTATCCCAGTGACATGATTTCAGACAAACTGGAGATGCTGGCTGGCTGGCTGGCTGGCTGGCTGGCTGGATGGATGGATGGATGGATGGATGGATGGATGGATGGATGGATGGATGGATGGATGGATGGATGGATGGATGGATGGATGGATGGATGCATGGATGGATGGATGGATGGATGGATGGATGGATGGATGGATGGATGGATGGATGGATGGATGGATGGATGGATGGATGGATGGATGGATGGATGGAATACTTATGAAAGAAAGACTGAAAACATTACTCAACAACATTGAATATCATAGTTCACCTTCTCAGCCTTAAAGTGTGGATTGTGTAAAATTTAGGGGGGGGTATGCTTGTACATAAAGGTTTTGATGACATACTGGGCTGCTACCTGACAATGCATCATTCTAAAATGATGTTTTTCAGAAATCATACACCCTTGTATGATTAAAATGATTTTTGCTTGACTTTCTGGTGTAATATTTTGTTTATTCGAGTTTCAATTTCTTTAAACCTTATAATGACACTGTAATATGCTTTAAGCTTAACTTCTTCTGCTTCATCCATTTGTTATTTTTTCTTATTCTATAGGGTGGATTGTATGTGTTTAAGCTATTTGACTACTACTCAGCGAGTGGAATGTCGCTGCTTTTCCTAGTCTTCTTCGAGTGTATCTCAATTTCATGGTTCTATGGTGAGCAATATTTTTTGAAAAACATATATAAGATACCTAATTCCAAAAGGTCACAATGTGCATTGGGAAAATACTTTTTATGTTGTTTATCTTTTTATTTACAGGTGTGAACAAATTTTTTGACAACATTGAGGAAATGATTGGTTACAGGCCCTGTCTGTGGTGGAAGCTCTGCTGGGTTGTTTTCACTCCTCTCATTGTGGCTGTAAGTGTCACCTTAAGACATTTTGTTGTGATACCGAATATTAGAGCATTTTATTGTAATTTAAAGTTAAATGTTAAGTATAGGTGGTTTTAACTTCATTAAAATTTGTAATTTTAAACAACAACAAAAAAAGACCAATGTAACTCCGGAGGAGGTTCAATGTATAGAGCTAAACACAGGGCAAAATGTCTTATGATGTAAGATGCTTAGATATCTTCTATTAACTATTTGTTCTACAGGGAGTCTTCTTGTTCAGTGCTGTACAGATGGTTCCCCTTACTATGGGAGATTATGTTTTTCCAAGCTGGGGTCAGGGGGTCGGTTGGCTAATGGCCTTATCCTCAATGATCCTCATCCCAGGCTACATGGGCTACATGTTCCTAACACTCAAAGGCACTTACAAAGAGGTAAGATGCTGTTATCATATCCAGGTTTTTGCAATCACTTTATGCATTTCTGTATTTAAACACTTTCTGAGTTGTCCTTTTTTTGTTTTGTTTTTTGTTTTGGGGGGGTAGTAATAATAAATAAATAAAGTAGCGGATTAGGCCCAAAATCTGTAGCTAAGAAGAAGGTATTGTCAATTCTTTATTATTAGATAGAGAAAATATTTTTTTTTTAATTCAGCCCATTCCAAATTACTGTATAGTAGTATACTGTAATAAAATAAGCTATTTATTTTTTCCAAAATTGACAGTAAGAAAAAATATGTTGACATGAGGCCAAAGGGTACTCCTTAGTGAATGAAAAATCGCTGAACTTTGCTTTGCCATATTTTATATTGAGGATTAGAACCCATCTCTGGCACTGTGCATGATTCAGTGGTTTTTAATGAGCAAATTCACAGGCAAGCTTGATAGAGAAATAATAAACCGCAATGAAGAGCAGGACTGTGATAAAAGGATTATAGAATGAAAAATAATTAGTTGTGTAAAGAAATTCTTCATGGCTTCCTTGACCAACTGTCAGACAAACCCTCTTTTTTAGCTTAACAATTACATTATTAGCTGGTTGGTATCCACTTTTTCACAGCATGTTGAATGCAGCTCGTTGTGATATATATAGCTTATAGTCCCTGCTGTAAGAATAAATGTGCCATAATTGCAGGCTTTGCAATAGAAGCTATCAAAAGCGAAATGCAGCTGTCAGATCCTGCAGAAGCAGCTGATGGCTGATTGTGTAATTGTAGCAATCAGGAAGCTGAATGCCGTTCTGCTTTCAGGCCACCACTTAGTTTCACAAACACTTCATTAGAATGACTGAGGAAGCATGCAGTCCAACACTCTGTAAAACTTCAAGCTTTAGAAGATTTAGTCAGATTGACATGTAGTGACCTTCTCCCTTTTATCCTGCAGTAGATATAAACTCTTCACACCCCTATTCTAATTTAACTGGCAGAGATCTTGAACTCTGAAATATAAGTTTTACTGTCATATGAAAAACTGTCCTGACCTTAAGAGATGTAAAAATATTTGCAATTACAAGCAAAAAAAAAGATTTTGGAAACATTTTTTGTTTGTAAAAGAAAAAAAAAACAATTCAAAAGTCTAAAATAAGCATGTGGGGAATAAGTCTGATGAAATAAAGGCCTTAAAGGTATTTTTGTCAAACTAAACACCATTAAACATCCCCTTTGCTACAGTGAAGCTTAGTGGTGGCAGCATCATGCTTCGTTGTTGTTTTCCGTTTGGCTTGAACTGGGGATTTTAAGAAAGTATTTTAAAACCTATTTAGCAATGCCCTAACTCCATCCGAGGGATTCAGTGTTGATTATTTAATTGTTGTTTATCAATCTACAGGTTACATTAAGATGGGGGAGAATCCTATATGAATTATTTTACAATCACAAAAACCCACATTTTCAATAAGTGTCATTGCTTTATATCCACTTTACAACAAAGGACAGTATCAGTTATATTAGAAAAACCTAATCCTCTTGATTCTCTTCTCAGCGTTTACGCATGATGATCAAACCTTTGGTTCTGGTGAAGGCTCAGGAAAATGGTCCGGATCAGCAGACAGAAACCCAGAATCAGAACCCTGCAAATGAAGAAGCCTACATCTAAGAAAAAAAAATCTAAGCACAGCCTCCCTCTCTGTTTGAGTGGCCAGACCGGCGCTGCACCGTAATCAAGGTTGGGAACAACCACTAGACTTCAACGTCTGCTTTTATTCACCTACCTCCTGGGGACATGTGAAACCAACCTGATTACATGGTTATTTTTAAGGGGGTTTTTCTGTTTGTTTATTTTTATAATACAGAGTTTTAAAGCCTATGAGGAAGAAAAAAATAAATCTGACAAAGTTGTTGTGATGTTTTGAATTTCATTATGCAAAAGATAGCCTTCTTAGAGAATCAAATGTGACCTAGAAAACTACTGTATATTGAATATATGTAATTTAAATCAGAAGGCCCTTACTGATTAAATAATATTCCTTTGAAATCATTAATTAATTAACTAAATTTAAAATACTGTACAAAGGAGTAAAGTATATTGACTAAAGTATATTTTATTTTGTAAATCACCTAAATACTTTAAAGTGAATGCAATGTAGCTGTTAAATAAAATGTAATGGTTTTAGAGATCAAAATTCTAAAATAGATAAATATTAAGCAAAGACAATATGGGAATGTGCAACAGGTAAGGCCAAATCTGCTTGTATGTATACATGATATATTTGTCACGTTATCATTCCCTTGCAGAATCCTGCACCTCTTTGAAAAATGTTTACCAATCATGTTGAGGACTACATTAGAAAAGCACAAGTACTTTGTTGTATTTTAAATACTTCTTAATGGCATGACTGAAATCTGTGAAAACAGCAAAAATAACTTATTTTACACTTAGCAAGAGACTGTTATGACTGTTGTATTTATTTTCTAATGAATAATTCATTTAAATGTTGTCTGACTGTTTAGAGACATTTTTTTAGATCATTTTCTATGAATCTGAGAAGGACCAAATTGCTCTCATTAATTTGGACAGTTAGCGTTTTATCTGCAGACTAATGGAGTCAATGCACCCCTTGATGCAGAAAAGCAATATTTAGAAAATATAGCACCAGTGTGGACGGAAGCCTCTATTACAAAAGGTATAGCCATTTTTGAAATTCCACAGTTCTGTGTTCACACAGCTCCACTTGAAGATCAATTATTTGGAATATGTATATTTCTAAGTGGCTGTGGGATGGTTAAGTGGGAACAAAGGACCGTGTGAAGTAGTTTGTTGCCTTCTGCCATGACTTGTGTCCTGTATTGGGGTTAGTAAAATGGATTTCTGTGACACCAATACCGAATTTTTGCCTGTACTTGTTTACTTGTAAATCTGTTCAGTAACCCACTCCTCAGGAACAAATGTAGATGTGACCAAACTGTTTTAGACATCGACCAGATTCACTGAAATAATTATCACTCAATCTAGAAAGTGTAACCCTAAAAACCCTAAAAATGTTTAAGTCTAAATATTCATTAAGACACAAATAGTGATAGTGCTTCCTGGTTCTTAAGACCTGTAATAGGCATGGGCGGTATGAGGTTCTCATGGTATGACAGCCTTGTGGTAAATTATGATGAATGGAATATACTGGAAACACAAATATATAATCTTTTTACCTTCATTTATGTAATAAAATAACAAGGATTTCTATGGCTGCAGAACCAATGTAAGTTATTGATTACTCAATGTTTAAAGTCATAACAGTGAGTCTAGAAAAAAAAACTTATCAATTCCCCTAATATGATATTGTTCAAGTGGCAGCATTCTGACTGATTTTCTAAAACTGTAGGACTAAAGACATTTGTAGTTATATATTTAAATTCACACTGATAAACCAAAAACATTTCTAGCCATTGGTACTGCTTGGTTGGTTAAAGGATAGGTTTTGATGATGTTTAATTTGGACTCAGAAGGGGAAAAAGTGTTTACAGAAGAGAAAATAACAGAAAAGTCCCCAAAGTCAGAATTGTAAAAGGGAAAGTTGGGTTTCTTAAAAAAAAACATTATATCTAAATCTAGTATGGCTTCCAAGCAGATAAAGCTTAATGAATAGGAATTAGTTGTGATAGAAAGTACTACACAATCTTATTTAGTAAACATGTAAGTATGTTTAAAGGTTCAAAATATAGAAAAATGTAATACATTCATATTAGCTTTATTGCTATTAGAAGTTATTGTGGTTTATGAGCATATCAATTAGGAAACCCTGCTGTGTTTGAAGTTAGCCCTGCAACATGATTAAAATGGGTTTATGTTATTTCCAGACCCGTGTACAGATTTTGTACATGAACTGAAGGCGTATTAAGTATTCCATCTGTTTGTTTTTTACCAGTCAAATATTACTTTTTTCTCAGTACCACTAAAGGCAGCCCCAGTAATGCCAGTGGTGCGCCCATTACAATTTTATTGGAACTGATCCAGACCATTTGGGGTCAGTTTGATTTTAACACAAAGTCTAAACAGGAGAAAATAAACAATCTGAAGGATAACATACTGGTTTTAACTTGATAATAACCAATACCTGTATGGCAATCAGCTGCCTGAAATGTAGATCACAGCTTGTTAGCTGTAGTTTAAAACAGTGTTAACTGGATAAGAATAATGGCTGGAAATTTCCAATCAGATGGATTGGTCGTTCTTATAAGTGATTAAAAAGTGTTGTTTCCTGTTTTCAGCAAACTGTCAGAAAGTGTGCTGCAGCTTTGGCAATAGTCTGCACTCCATAAAGCCAAAATATATAGTCACTCTGACTGACTTTTTAACCTTCTCATCAAATTGATTTAAACCTTGTAGGAGCAGAACAAGAGAAAATGTTATGGTTTTGTAGTCATAATCTTGTAGAACTCTTATGTATTTTTTATACTGATAACCCGCCTATGCCTATTTTTTTTTTTAAATGCCTTCTGAAACATATTTATGACCTAGAGATTCTAGGATCGAGGAGCATGCTATCGGTCAGAGGACAAAACACTGTTAGCACAACAAAACCCAAGCACAAACTACACAGGCCATAAAAATATAACTGTGAAGCAAAGAAAAATGTTACATATTTGATCATACTTTATTCTTTAAAGAATAACATTATAAAAAGAACTGTAGGCTCTAATTTTATCACAAATAACTAACATTGTGACAAGGAAGGATCAAGACAATATGCTTTTATGGCAGCTACATGTGACAGATATCAGGCTGAATCAGTCCCGGAACTTATAACTTTACTGACTTATTTTTTTAAGCTATATGAATAAAAAAAGTGCAATGACGCAAGGTTTCCATGAATTTTGTATAAAGTTATCATACCACCATTTCTCTCTTGAATGATGTTGTAAACTGGATTGTGTAATACATGTATCTGTGAATGTCTATATTCGCTGAGATTTTCTTTTATTCAGTCTAAATGTTGAATGGAGCAATGTGACATCTCTTACTGTTTTCTGCAATAATACTGTCTCAGAAACTAAGGTACATATCTCTCCACAGTAAAATCGCAATGACAATAACAGAATAGAGTAATAATAAATAATAACAATAATTTAATAGAAATGTCTAGTCAGGGATTATTGTTTTGTACATTTTTAGCTGTTAAATGGGCCTAATGTAAAATATTATATGTAAAAAAAAAATATATAATAAATGTCTTAAGATAGTGTTCTATGAAAAAGCATGATTGCTATATGTGTTACTTGCTGAATTAAATAAAGATCTATAGAATATAAAGTAAGCACTGTGTTATTTTTCAGTCCTTTTTAACCACTCTAAGCAGGTTTTCGTATACATTATGGAAATACTATGAAACAGTTTCACTTTTTAATGGATTAGGCTTTTTGAGTATTTTCAAACTGTAGCTAAAAATGTACAAAAACTCTTAAAATGCTTTCATGAAGATGACTGCTGACCTGCTTAGTAATATGGTAATGCACTATGTATTACATAAGTGAAAATGAATATGAAATCGCCTTGAAAGGTGTTGGATGTAAACCTGTCTGATGGTATCTGACAAAATGGTTTTCTGCTGCCGCAGTAATATCCTTGTAACACCTGCACTTAATTTTATGCCACAAACTAGAGTTGTCTGGCGCAGCAGCAAACAACTCCCAGCTACAATCAGTGGTTGCACAGCATAACGTAATTAGACACGAATGCTAACTACTTACATTTACTTGAATAGCTTTTTTTTAAATGAGTTCTTCAGGTAGTTTTACTGCACTGTGTATTTTACATTTATTTGATTAAGATTATTTGAAAATAATGTCTCAATGAGCTGCAACTGCATGATCAACCCTTAAGGCAGACACCAATGACGGCTGGTGGGGTTTTGTCCACCAGCCGTGACTCTGGTCAATGACTCAATCAATTTCTCTATGGTTGGAGTAAGGTTTGGTTTTGACTAGATTCTTCTACATAGAGATGATGGCCAGGACATTGAGAAGATCCTGTGACATCATGCTCCAGAGGAAGGTCTTGATCTTCTTCAGTGTTGGGAAGCACCTCTCAGATTCAGCTGTGGTCACGGGACTTGTGATGAGGATCTTCAGCAGAGCTAGAATCTTTAAGAGGGTGTCCTGAAGATTGTTCGCCATGAAGAACTGATACAGAGCCACTGCAGGTCTTGAACTCATCATTGCTGTAGATGAGAGCCAGCTCAGTTTTCGGCTTGTTCTTGTTGATCAGTGAGTAAGCCTCAATGGTGGTTTTGAGTGCAGCTTCAGGGAACTGGCTGTGGTACTCCAGGAATCTGTCTGCCTGCAGCAGTGTAGCGCTGATCTGTGTTTTGACGTCAGCTCTGGGCAGGAGAGCTGCACCCCGGGAACCTCCTATCCTTTTTCATTGCAGAGGATCAACTGCCCATGTACACCTTTCAACGAGAGTCAATGGGCAAAGAGTTTTGCGGCCTAGGGCAGAAATACATCAACAATCTGACGACGCACGAAATAGGTTTACTTGTCATATTTATGTTGCACATTTAAAAAATATATTAATATATTTTGAAATATTTTAATTTTATAGTTTCATTTTTATTTGTTGTTTATTTCTTAATCAAGGTCATTGGGTGGGTTGGGCGGCTCCCTAGCACCTCTATTGTCCAGCTGCCACCACTATGAAGACACAATTGCACAATGGGCTCTATGCACAGCTCCACTACTTCCTGAATTTAAAGCAGCCCCTTTGTTTCCTGTCTTTCATTACTGGACGAACTGATTAATCCAGGTGTGTCTGGCCAGTTACTTAGGTCATACACACCTGGATTAATCAGTGCATCCAATCATGAAAGACAGGAAACAAAGGAGCTGCCTTAAATTCAGGAAGTAGTGGAGCTGTGCATAGAGCCTATTAATCCTGGATGTTTTCGTTTGATAGAAGGCCAACATTGTGACTGTCTTTATGTTCCTTTAAAAGTTCAGGTCCGAGTTCATTACTAAACCTGGATTTTGCAAGCCAAATTGTTTTATTTCTGCTAACTGTTCTTAGCCAGTTGGAGGTTGAGTGAATACGAACTAAATGGCATGTACGGGTATTCAAATATGTGTTTTGATGAGGCTCATTTGTCTGATTAAAAGTAACTCTTGAAATAACCAACTTTGCTTTTAAATGATTGTGTTAGTATGCTTTTACACATGAAACAGAGCGTAAAACCCTTTTCATGTCCTGTATGCCTGAAGAACTAAACTATGCCAAGATAAGCACTAACATTCTCAGGAATAAAATGCTGACAGAATTCTGACTGCAAACAAAAGTAACATTGGTAGTATTCAGTGAGAAGATACCTAAGCAGTGGTGACTAAGCAGAGTATCATCAGGATGTGAGAAATATACCATGCCTTTATATTGACTTTGTCTAATGCGGCAAAAAACACAAGGGTAGAGGGGTGTATTAAAGCAGCCTGACAAAATTTTCTGAGCTTGTGCTTTCGTAACTTGTAACTTTACATGATAGCATTGTACTTCAGAGAAAATACAAAGTAAAAATATAGACCATATCAATATTCTGTAATGAACATGCATAAACATTTTCAGCAGATAGGTCTGTCAAACACAAAAGAGTATGTAATTTAAAAAATGCATTTGCCAATGGTATGCAGATGGTGTGCCCACTAGGGGATCTATAAATGCATTATATCGATTGTCAGTTAAGTTATAATTCAACCACCTTTCATTAAATAATACCATTGTCATCTGCATTAACTCAAACATTTAAAAACCAAACTGTAAAATATAATTAAATTATTTCAAAACAAAAAAGCAACATTTCTAACATCCCATTTGCTAAAATTATTAAGAATATTAAGCAACAGGTAATTTTTTATTGTTTTTAATAGAGAATTATACCCTGGTGGAAGACTAATGCATAATTCAAAGAAAAACCTTTGCTATATTTTATCTTTTACATGACTGTTGCACGGTATACTGCCATGTTTTGCCTTCCTGATTCACCAGAGTAACACACTAATGATACAGCATCTGTTTAGCTGGGATTGGTTTGCTCTCAGCGTGAAAGACACACTATTTTTGACATTTAATTAATTGGTGGCAATACAATTTTATTATAGGGACTTAACCCCTAGGATGTATGATGGAAAACTTAGTCAAATTTTAAAGCATTTACCAGCCCATTAATTCTTATATCCACTCAACTGAAGTTATTACCAATTCCATATAATATGGATTGTTATCATTCATTTTTCTTTATGGAACAGAAAACATAATTTTATTTTAAACAGAGCTCAGAAGTCTGTGAAGTCAGTGCTGCTGCACTTGTGATTTAGCCAAATCAATCTGGTACCATCTTTGTTGTTTTTTGTTTTGTTTGTTTTTGTTTTGTTTTGTTTTTTATAGGAACACAAATTTACAAAATATGCAGAATAATATAATGTAATTCTCTCAAAAGAAAACTGGATAGACTTCACCAGTATTTTAAAGCTAGCAAAGCTACAATTCAAAATGTAGAGTTTCATTGTAAATCTAATACACACCACCAACCACTTTACCCACCTATGTTGGGATCCCTGATGAATCCTGAGTCAGAGTATTCATCATTCTTATGTTCATCTTTAGAACGACGCACAGATAGCATATCTGCTGCCTGCAGATTGACAGGCAGGCAATGAGAGGAGCAAATGCCCTTATCACTGCCTGCCATATGATAGGATTAGCTAGAGTGTTGTCGAACAAAGCATTAATGAACAGTTTTAATTGCTTGCCTGGCATTCCCTGCCAAGCCACTGAACTACACACACAGATACACGGGACACAAAGCTTGTGGAGCCATCCATATTAGGGCAATGCAGTTGCTGCCATTTTCTATAGAAATTCCAATCAGAGCACATGCATTCTGCATGGCACTTAAATGTCATTCAATCTTTATGTAATCTACATGTATCACATCAATAACGGCATACTGGATCTATCCTAAATATCTAACAGGAATTACTGGTGCGGAATCAATATGAATTGTTCAGAAATGTTAACAGAAAAAATGCATTCACCTGCATTTTTTTTAGCTTTTTTTTTTTTGTTTGTTGGCATTTAAATTTGGATATAGTGATTTCATTTACATTCAATATTACACTGTGCAGCACAAAACATCAGAGATATGTTAGATTACAAGTCAAAACTTTCACACACTAACCCATGAGCATGCAAAACAGTACAGTGGTCAAAAGGTTTTTCATCGCCTAGATCAACAAGAGGCAACATAGAGATGCAGTCATTTTCATGTCCTAACTCATTTTGGGTTTTCTGTGGTTTGCTCATAGCTTCCGTGATGCATGCTTTGTTTTTCTGTGCATCTGAATTGACTTCAGCTGAAAGTGTTGGCATGAGCATGCCTATTTCACACGCATGTTGCACTATGATGGCCTTCAGATTCATTCAAAATAAGTCTATCTACAACCCACACATAACGTGCAACACACATGTAATAGTATTAATCTGAATTAGCAAGTCAAAACATTAAAATATTCTAGCAAAAATGTCTTGTTCAGAATAACACAGACTAATGTTTCAAAAGAGAGTGACTGACTTTTCAGCTAGAAATAGCTTCTCTCCCCTTATAAAAAAGAAAAAAAGTTAACAACCCCAGAAGGGAGAGCAATTGCTACTACCAATAAATCCATCTCATCTCTTGCAGTCGGAGGCATTTTGCTATGCCACATTTATCACGAAATGTACTAGGAGTGTTAGCAACGTGATTCATCTGTAAGTTTAAAGGCACTGACTTATTCTCTGCTAGAACCAGGTCAATAAAGGAACAGTGATATTGGAAAGCTATATTCAAAATGGAAGTTTGACATAATGACGAAGGAGTTAAATGCATTATAGAATATGCATTATGCATTATACATTATTTATTTTTAATCGTTTCATTATTTTGATCTGTATATCTACAAGTCAAAAGTCAAAAAATATTAAAACCCCTTTCAGATTTAGAGTGGAAGATTATTTTCGATGTAACCTCAAAATTTGTTTCATAAAGAAAATAAAAAAATGTACAAAAGGGCATATGAAAAATGAATGATATAAATTGAAGTGATGGGTAGGGTGACCATATTTTGATTTCCAAAAAGGAGGACATTTTGCCAAGCCCTGAGACAGATACAGACAGGCTTCTCAGGGGTTAATGAGCATACTTTATTGTACCTAAATTGTAAATTACAACACATGAATAAAATCAAATTATGTTCTAAATATGACCTAGTCTGTATAAGAAAATACAGCTTCAAC